GGTTTCTGCAAAAAAGCTGTGCCTGTGCTTAGACACCCCCCAAGGAAGCTCCCAGCTTGGATGGGCTGTTTGGTGTTTCTTTGGCCCCCAGCTGTGTCACAGTTTGCTCCTTTCAGGCATGGCTGAACAATGCCAAGGTCAGTACAGGATGACAGGGAATAGTATATTGCAGTCAAGCAAATGAAATCAAAACTGTGCCAAAGAATGGGTTCTTTATCTTGTTTGGTTATCTTTAGAAAATAAATAGACTGCAGCACACTTCATACAGTAAATGGTAACTTTGACTGGCCTTACTCCAGTAGCACCTGAACAAATATTTCTAACATGGGCAACTCCTCCTCCCTCCTTCTCAGCTGGACTGATCACATATTTGTGTAACTCCCTGTCAGGTCTGATGTGGTCAGCCAGGGCAAGGAAGCTCCCAGAAATAAAGGAATTTGGACATTGCATTTACTTTTTCAACAGTCTTAGAACTAAATTATGCCTTTCTAGGAACAGCCCCAGAAAATATTCTATCCAAACTCTGCTAGTTAAGATCTAGGGCTCTCACTTCAATCAGCAGGCTACTGACAGCTAAAAGAGCTCAAAGAAGAAGACTGGATAGCATATGTACACACAGAATGCAGGCAGGCTCTGCACAGGAATATTACATTTTGGAAAACATTTTTGGCAACTCTGCTTAATGAAAACAGGAATATTTGTACTGTTGGACAGTTGAAGGAAAAATCTAAATTTCCCTGTCATATTAAATAATTCGGAAGACCTCGTTTAGTTAAAGAAGATTCTCTCTGAAATTACACGAACAATAATCGAGAGGCATCAAGTCCTTTAGTTCAAGATAAAACATCTGAAATGGTTTGAACTGTATTGACAATGTTAAGGTGAGTAATGTGTTTTCTTCACTTTCATTGTCCTACCTAAAAAGAATCCTTAGATAAAAAGGTGCTGAAGCTGCTTTACTTGAATTTTTTAAGCATAAATATTCTCTCACTAACCATTTTGTTCTTTCAACAGCATGTTTCAGTTCCGCCTTCAGCAGTGCCCCTTTGAAGATCTGCTGTATCAGTGTTCTATGAAATCTGTGGTAATTGTGAGGTTTTGACAGTACTCAAGAAAATTCTTGAGTACTTTAATTCTTATAAAAGATGCCTGAACATTTTACTAATCCTGCAGAACCACTTTTAATAGCAAATTCAGAGGTTGCTTATAAACTGAAATCAAACATTAAGACATTAAATGAAAAGGTATATTTATTGATGGACAAGCCAGCTGTTGGACAGATCTCAGGAGGGCAACTAAGGGGTAGTTTGCTGGTTTGAAGTCAGTGTGAACTCCTCCACTCCCTCAGCAGTGTTTCTAGGGGAAATACTGACGTGAAAGAACTGCAGGAATACCTTACATGCAATTGGAGAAAAACAGCAATGGAAAAAATTATATTAGCCCTTGAAAATTCAGGATTAGAAACTCCACAATTTGCAGAGTTCCAAGTATGCTGTAATCTGACTTCACTGGTGCTTGTCTTCTCAGGCAAGATGAGACATTATTCCCATCCCTTTTTACATACTCAGGTATCATTGCATATCAGCTCTGTCTCTAAATGACCCAGAACCTTTCACTCTTCTCATTTCACAGCATTACAGAATGGGGTTGGAAGGGACCACTGGAGGTCATCTATTCCCACTTCCCTGGTCAAGCAGGGTTCCCTAGAGCACGATTCAGTATTTCCTAGAGCTCTCATTACAACTGTTGTGCTGTTCTGGTTTCTCTCCAGTTAGGACTGCCATTCAAGACAAATACAAAGGAAAGATGGGATGCAGGACTCAATTTTTTTCAATTCCAAAGAGAACTGCAGTCTGTATTATTCAATTAATGAATAATACATGGTATAGACCAGTTCCCATTTATTTATGTTACCTAAATTTCACTTTTGTTGTACTTTATGCTCACAATTACTTTCTGCTAAAATGGATAAGCATTCCTGACCCACTCTTTGAGGATTCAGTTGGCTGTACGTAAATGTAGTGCTTTGCACTTATCTGCACTGGATTTCATCTTATTTTTTTCTGGACCATTTTATCTGTTAGTTATGATGCCATTGGCAAGAGACATAAAGCCATATTACACATCACATTACAGCCATGACACATTTTTACCATTTTTTTTTTCCTAAGGACACAGGATTTACACAATAACACTGTTCTCTGTCACCTCCACCACTTCCTGACAAACTGCTTTTGAACCACTTGCTTAATTCCATCAAAATATGATGGAAGAGAAAGGTCCTGAAATTTGACCTCAGCAAGTGGGTAAAGGAGAAGCCTGAAACTGCTTTCCTTCCCCAAGGTAAGTGCCTTTGGCATGAGCACACCTCCCGTGTGCTGTTTGTCCTGTCAGGTGGCCCATCCGTCCCTGAGCACACGTGTTGCCCCTGAGGACCAGGCAGAGCACGTGCTCTACTTTGCTCTGCTAACACAACAGGTGAGGGGGGAGCACTGCAGGACCACCTCCTGGAAGAGGCAGGATTACACAAGATGGGGAGGGAGCTGCAGTTATTGCAACTGGTGGTGTGTACAGACCAAGGACATGTAGATAGAAACCACCGCACTTCGTTAGTTCTGCTGCTCAAGGAGGAGCTTGTTTTCAGCCTCTGGCACGGGGTCACTGGGGTGCAGATTTCCTGTGTATTGACTCTCCCCTGACTGAAGCAGACAACAGCTTATCATGCACAAAGTGGGGGTGTTTCCTGAGCCAAACTTACAGCTTTAACACATTTTGCTCTTGTAGGTTTTTTGATCCTAATGTGTTATGCTTAGGTATCTAGTGAAATTCTAATAGCAGCATCTACTGTACATTCCCTTACCCTTATCTGCCAAAGGAGGAGACTCAGATTTTCTAAACATAAGTAACTTCCCATGCATTTACAAAAGATTAAGAACTCTTAACTATGCACGTGTGAAAACAGATTGCTCCATCACTCTGTATGAAGACTAAGAGTGGAAAGCACATAGCTGCATGCTTCTCTTGAGACCAAATACAATAAAGTTTAACTAGAAAGACATATTGACCCATACAAGGACAAGCTGAAGTATTTGAAAAAGCATTATTGAACAGCGTGCACTTTGTCCATGCTCTTTGCAAGCCTTTAAGCAAACATCCTTGTTCAGTTTTTTTCTGCCCTTCAGTGTTGCAAAATATAGTGTCTTTTTTAAAGCAGAAGCTAAAGGTATAGTCTTATTCCAGGAATAAAATAATTCTTATTACATCATGCAGTTAAGAGCACCCACAAGCAGGAAAAAGAATGTGTGAGTACAGAGGGCAAGATAAAAAGGACTGTTACTGTAGTACTACCAGCTTCTCTGGTACTAACTACTTGAGAAAGACATGAATGCAGAGTACAGCACAATATATTCCTGGAGAACCTGAAAATAGCTCAGTCTTGAGGCGGTTGGAAAGGCATTAGCCCCTCCACAGTGCTAGATTTAGAAAAGCTATTAAGTTGCTCTCTCTTCTCTAACAGGAAGTCTTTACTCTAAACCACTTCATGTTTGTTGACCTGGGACATACACATCATATACTGCACAGAAGCAGATATAACAGTGACTGTAGTATTTTAAAACTACTAGATATGAACCTACTTACTCCTTTTCTAAGTGACTATTTTCTCGATAAAGAAACAGAAAATAGTTTAAATTGATGGGACTGAGTTCACTCTTTCTGATTTCCTTTAACAAGATTCAACTTCCAAGCCCCAGTGCTCAGTTTATGAAAATGCTTTTGAAAACAAAAATCAATTAAATACTCAAGCACAAAATAACAAAATACCTTGCCTTCCACAGGTAGGGCTGATAAAGCAAAAGCAAAGCAGTGCAACAAGCAAACAGTGGTAGATACCTCCAATCATTCTACCTTTGGCTGCTGAGCCACCGAATTCCACAGGGGCTTAAAAATCTCTGAACTTTCCAAAATGTGAACTGAGAGAAGGAAAACAGTGAAACCACCAAAGGGTAAATTGTGAAGGGTTAAAAAAGTGGGGTTTATCCACTTAGCATATTTCACAGTAGTCACAGTTCTTTTTCTTTGTACTTTTGTACCTACAGAAGTGGATACGTGTAACCATATTTCCAAGTCAATATTCTAACGCTTGTCTTAGTTTGTAAGTGGCAGTGATGGGGGCAAACACTGCTAAAAATGAAACTTGCTAATCTTTCACACTGACATTTAGGGTAACTCTTAGAGAAACATCACTTACCCTAATGCCACAAGTCTGATACATGCAATGAAGCCTGTAGTTTTAACTCACCACATTCTAACTTCCTCATGGGAACAAACAATTACTACTACTAACTCTAATTCCCACAGAAAAATAACAAGGTAGTAACACAACCAGGGACAAATCATAAAGGTGTTTTTTTAGGCAAACCTCTAGTTCAAGGATGAATCAGTTCCAAGAAATCCTAGTGAATTAACACAGTATCCTTCTAAAGATCAATTCATCATGCAAACATACCCTAACTACTCATAACCAGAAGCAGTCCTGTATTTAATTTTGAGTGTTAAAAGTATTACATTTATCTGTGAGCACTCCTATGCCTAGGGTTCTCTCTCCTACAGGTTGCTGCTACAGAAGGCCATTACCTCAAATTCAGTATGGGAAAAAGATGAGTGGGAAGGTAAAATCATTTGCTTTCTGTTGCTGTGCAGGCCAAGACACAAAACTGCTCTATGACCAATGCAGGACCTGGGTCGCAGTTTCAATACCACAACTTCATCTTAAAACATTGTGCCTTACATTACCACTGTGATAAAAAAAAAAAGCAATGCACTGAAGAGTTATAGGGCCATTGAAAGGTTTTGACTACACTTGACATTTGCTGCTTCCTCAGTGCTTTTTGTTTGTACTTCATGGCTGTTCCATCCCATGGTACTGAAAACCTTCATCCACAGGACCGATGCTAAATGGAGCACACCAGCATCCCCCAAACTAAATGATACAGGACAAATAAGGTTTTATGCAAATTTATTCATTAGCTTTAACAATACATAAATCAATACTATGTCCAGCATAAGGTTGTATAATAAAATATTCTGGTAGGATTAATTTCTAGTGCGAACATTTTTAAGGGCAGTTTTCATCCAATTTGGACACATTTTTTAAAAAAATAAATAAATACAAGGCCAAAAATGCTTACTTTATGAAAGTCCTGCTAAGTAAGACTTCAGGCTCCACATTGCTCCAAAGCACTAACAAGTACAGGTGTCTGTGTACATCTTAGACTCGCACACAAATGGGCTGTGCTCAAGCAGCAAACATTTTTTGACATCCAACTCAGACCAATACATACCAGATTTCTAATGTAGACCTCCTTATTCCTCTTAAAGCTAGCATCCACTTTTTTACTGTAGGATTGTCTTGCCTTCCAGCTGTGATCTGCATATATGAATCCTAACAAATGCACAAAATACAAAGGTCCACTCCTCTCTTAATATTATGTTTTTGGCTCGAGATCCTGACTGCACTCTCTAGTGGAACTATTTATGAAACAAATTGCTACTCAATTCAAGTACACCTAAATCGCCCTTGGAAAAAAAAAAACAAACCCAAACACTAAAACATTTTGGGAACAGGCAGGTACATTACATCCTCCCAGCTTTCTTTGTTATGCTTTTGGAGCTCTCTAAACTTCAGGAATACATCCTCTCTGGGATGTTTGATGCTTAGTGCTATGGCATTAAGTTTTAGGCACGCTGGGTTCTGTGGGCTGCAGACAGTCCAGGAAAGGCTGCATTTTCAGCTTTGTTTCCCTGGTGGTCAGGGAGTCCAGTTATACACAGTGGCATTCAGATGTTCAAAGTGCAGTATAGAGGCATTCGCTGACATCTGGACTGCTTTGATTTATATTTAGCAATATTAAAATCTGGTCCCAATTTAAACTAGATACACATGAGAAAACATATTTGGCACAACAAAGATGTTTTATTTACTAGTGTACTTATACCATGTAGGCTATCCTTTGGGTATATTTGTTCTACAAATCTAGATAAGCTTGTTTTGTCTTCTGACAAATTCTCCTGATGGCAAAATTCCCTTTTCCTTAAGTTACACTCAGGCTTGAGTCACAAATTTTAAACCTACTCTAAATTACACATTTTACTTCATTATATCAAAAAAAAAAAAACTGCCAATGCTTGGTCAAAGTATAAACACTTACAAACCTAGTGAAAACATCCCTGAGAAACTTTCAGCAACATAGAGTAATTATTGGTTTTGGTCCACTAGAGAAAATTGTTACATCCAGGTATTGAAAAATGTGGGCTACGAGTCCATTGGTTGTACACTGGATTCCCATAAATTCACTTTCACTCCCCTTACAAAACATTGTATCTGAGACAAAGACCACTAGAGGTTCTTTACATTCTATTTAGTTTGATAGAGAATGTAATTGTTAAAAAAAATTGTGATGAATGGCCCAGATTCAGCCCTGGTGTAACGCCTTTAATTTCAATGGAGTTCACACACATTCCAGGGTTGAAGTCTGGCAACACATATGACTGTGAAGGACAGTACCTAAAGTAAAAAAAAAAAAAACAACCTTAAAAGTTAGAGGATACTTTTCACAAGTTGCTGACATTTTTTTGCATCCTACTTATTTTGCAAACAAACATTTTACCAATATTGAAGTTTAGAAGTCAGACTGCCATGCCATAGGAAAACTCAAAACACCACCTGGTTCAACTCTACTGAGAAAGCAAAGTGCACAGCTTCCACAAGAGTGCACATAGGGCTAATGGCTATGGAAATACTGTGTTAGCACACATGCAGGGGAAAGAAACAAAAGCAAAAATGCAAGAACTTTTTGAACAGAGGGATGTGTCAGCTTTAGAGGGTCACACAGTCCACCATCTCATTGGTTTAGCGATATTTTAGAACAAAGCCAAAACTCATATACACATTACATAAATGCAAGTAATCCACCTTCTTTTGCCTGAAATATTAAGTATTTTCAAATACAATTGTTTTCAGAAACTCTATTAAAGCCTGATATATTGGAAAATTTATTAAAGCTGCTTGTACTCTAAGGCAAAAAACTAAGTTAGCACTAGAACTTATCTTTCTGTACCAGTACTCCTGACCTTAGCACTTTCGGCTACAAGCCTGAGCAAACCTGCAATTTGCAATTAAAAAGCCATGCTCTGTAATGTTACATCAATAGCTTCTGCTAAATGAGGCTGTTTCACTCTATGAAGTGCAACAAAAGTGTAATACAATATCTTGTACCTAACACTTGTCTAATTTGTAAGGAAACATGCAAAAAAGCCTGCAAAGGTGTTTCCATAAAGTTAAACCAAAACAGATAAAATACTACAATGGTTTTGGGAAAAGATCAAAAACTTAAGAGTCCACTTCAGGAATCTACAAAAGATCACAGAATATTCTGAATTGGAAGGGACCCACAAGGACCATCAAAGTCCAACATTTATAAAGGACCTTTATACCAATTTAAAGAAGGTAGGGGAGCAGAACCGTTCATGGTATGGGAATATTGGAGAAAAACTCCAAAAAACCCCCCAAATACTGTATAACGAGTTATTATAAAGCAACTGAAAAAACCCTTCATTTTACTCAGAGAACACAAGAACTGTTCAGAATTTATGAGCGAACTGAGTAGTTATAACCACTGAACAGTTTCACTGTGGGGGTCAGCAACACAACTTCAACATTATTTTGGAGATCAAACACTAGACATATGACTGCTGGGGATCCTTTGATACAACAGCTGTCAAGATCCAACTGGGCTGTCCTCTGCCAAAAGTGAAGCCTTTTCACAGAGTCGCTGTAATACGAATTTTCTCTCTTGGGACAGCTTCCCCAGACAGCTAAGTTATGCATTCAACTCTAGAGAAACACCTCAGACAGGGTCATAAAAAGGGAGCATACATGCTTAACCATGATATTTGTGCAGCAAAGTTAGTAAGTGAAGTGGATCCTTTCAGACAGTAGATGTATTACCAGGTGGTGAACTGTCAGGGGCTGTTTTGGGATCAGGAGTGCGACAAACAAACAGTTGTTTTCCCAAGGTTTTTTGGGCAAATCTGAAGTACATTATGTGGCCCATTGCAACAAAAGACACAGAAATAAGCACCAATAAGCCAAAAGCTTCAGGGTTTGGGGCCAAGATGACCATGATGAAGTGCAGCAAATCAAGAAGATAATTCATGGAGTTTTGGACACCATTTATGATGCCTCTTTCAGATTCTACCACATTTTCCTGGAGTAACTGTGTGACAGTCAAATCGAAGGACCAAAGGCCTATGGAGAGGAAAAAAAAACCAAGAAGAGTTATCCATGCAACTGGGATTCTCATGGTAAGCTTTCATCACTGGCACAATACAATTCCTCCTTCCAAACACTAATTTCTGCCAAAAATGCACAGGATAAGATATTCTCTTGTATGACTAGAATTGATTTCACACTCACAGTCAAGAGCAATTTACTTTCCTTTTACTAATATTTCCTGAAATAATACATACAGCTTGACACATTAACTTGCCTGTCATCTCTTCCTTCAACATGTCTATGAAGTTAATGTTTCGCTCACCTTTTCCTTGTTTAAATAGCTGGTTTACAGCTATTTACTGTGTATTCATGCTAGCTACAACCACTGAGTTTTGCAAAAGATGTCTGCAAAAGAATTAAACATGTTTAAACTATGCAGAATACATAATTTAAAATGGTCTCAGTTGACACTAACTTCCATACTGTTTTGGTCCATTAATGATTCAGCTTTAAAAGTTTATCTTGCAAACAAACCTAAGACATGTGAATCAAGTATTTTATTCCTCCTCAATTCAGCAAAACCTGCAGAAATTAAGTACAAAGATTCTACAAATGACAGTTACTGTTCATTGCATTCATGCATTTGACTGCTTCTGCTGTTGACAATTACTAATACTATGCTAACCAGCAATTCCTCAAAAAATTAAGCTGTCTGAGTCAAGTTTCTATTCTAAACTCCAAGATTAGACAATTTAGTAAATTGATTAATTCAGTAAACTGCAGAGTTTGAAGGTTTTGACAGCAGATGTGTTTAGTTCTGTTTCCTAGTAACAGTTTCATTTGGTTGTGATAGAATACCATTGAGATGAGCATTCCAAAAAACCAGTTACATTCATCTCCAAATGTGGTAACTTTTTCCCATTAGTGACATACAATGTACAAGAAATTAGTACTTCATTCCTTGCCCCGGTGATCATTTTTATGTGAAGTATAATCAGTTAGCCTTAGAAATGTGATATAACACTTCAACTATAGCCTAAATTCTAAATTAAAATTTGTATTTAGTTGACAGGCACTGCAATCTTTAAAATGCAAAGCAGTTAATAAACAAAATTTTAATAGAGACGTAATACTCACCAACTCTAGCAGCAATGACTCCTGCAAACAGGAGACTGACAGAGATCAAAGGCACGGGCTCAGGACTCATCTCTGGGTCGCTGTTAGCAGGAGTAGTAGACCCGTTTAACAAGTTGGGCATTCCAGTTGCCAAAATCATTTCAGGTTCTGGAGATGCTATAGTAGGTAATGGCTCATTTTCAAATAGCCTGGCACTGATGTCAGCAAATGGGGAAACAGTCAAATCCATAGGACTTCCAGGCATAAATACAGAGACGACACATAAGATCAGACAAGCAAACTGAGCAACTCCAGAGATGAGGCCTGTGCGGATGAGGCCACACTTGCGACGAAGCCAAGTGAAAGCTACTGTTCCCATGATTCCAGTGACTGCCGAGGCACCCATGAGGAGGCTTAGCACGGAGCCACTCAGACCCTGAGTGTATGCATAGCCTGTAGTGATACAATCAAAGCCCAGAACAGTCATGTACAGAAATGCAAGACCCATGCCTGCAAGAAACACCGGCTGGTTGTAGTACGCGACCCATCCATCGCGGAACGTTATGAAGGGTTCAGCAATGCGGGCAGCGCAGCCGACTTCCTTCTCCTGTTGGGGCTCAAAGCCAGTTACATCTTTCTCAACAATTAACTGCACTCCTTCAGCAGGTTTCATGTCACTCTCTGTGAACAGAAAGGCAGCTGTCAGATACACTCCTGCCTGGAAAGTGCACAGTGTAAACCGACAGACAGCAAGTTCACTTCTGCAGAAGTGCATCAGTTAAACACCACGACCAAGCTCTCTCTTAATTACCTAAATAATTTAAAAAGTGTCCTAAAAATCCCACCTGTAGGGCAAGATCAAGTAAAATTTATCCCTATCGATTCAAACTCCTGCTTATTTCATTGAACTGTGATAGAAGAAAGCACTGCCTGCTTCTAGACTTGCGACTGAATGCTCCATTTTCATAAAGAAATTATTTGTTTAACAAATGCTAATGTTAGTTGACATTTTAACATAGCTTTGTATGCTTAAATACACTAATTGCAGAAAGAAGGGAATACTTAAACACCTGTCAATATATCATGTCATGGTAGAAGAACTAAGGCTGAAGCCTATCCAGAGGAGAAAGTTTTCAAAGCTTGACTTAAAAAAACCCTTCAAACCAGGCTTTTCTACAGTTTTATTTTCACTGTAATATAGGAAAAAGGCACAAAAAAAAAAAATCCAAAAACCCCATAGCAGTATTTACATTTAGTAATATGGATAGAAACTCTACAAGTGTCTGGATGCCTGCAAAGTGTTTTTACACTGTTAAGCTTAAAACTAACTCCACATATAGTGAGAAATGAAGTGTTCTTGAAATTTTTAAAAATACAAGTCTCCTGCTAAAATCAGATACTGCAATAGCAAAGATTAAGAGGTGTTTCCTACATATTGACATTTGCTAAATGCTTCATTTTTCAGAAGTCATTAAGAGCCAGTTCCAAAGCCATGGAGCCTTCTACACTCTATTTTGTTCCCCTACCCTGGACTGCCATCAGCCCAGTCCAAGAGCTTACTAGACCAGCCATTAACACAATGGATCTGATGGCTGGCAAGATATGTCTCTTCAGTACTTTTAATAGCAGCTTCCTATCTCACCTTATATTGAGCAAAAATTGCTAGCTAGCATTTAAACAAAAAGCAGGAATTCTTCATATTTCTTAAAAAAAACCAAAAATTGCAACCTATTGGTTTTTGGAGCCCATGAGATGAGCTTTCAGTAGCATTCACATACTGCTACCTTAAAAATGAGAAAACACTTATGTTTGGTATTCCAGTACCTAACACTTCAAATAACTCATAGAAATAATTCATGCTTCTGAAATGATTTTTATTTCTGATATTCAGTCTACCTGAAGTAATGTTAATACCAATTTTAAGGCTGCTTATAGGAATAGCCATAGTCATAGCCATCTACACTGTAAGCCTCATTAGTTCTGCTTGGCCAAGAAAGCAAAATTGAAGGTCAAAGTAGATTTTTTTTATTCCTCCACCATTTCATGCAGCATAGCATTCAAGCCTGCCAGGCTAGACCACCTATTCTACAACCTCCTGAAAGCACGTTAGTACTATGTATAAGTAGAAATGAGTTAGCAAGAAATAGTCTTACAGAGGCTGTTTTTCCCTTAGAAACTACAGAACCAAGGGCTTTGTCCAGATTATTAGCTATGGTACAGATGAATAGGAGCATTCCTTACAATCAGCCCTAAGTTAGAGGGCAGACCTACTCTAAAGGGTTAAATAAGAGGAGAGAGATCATTCTTTGGCTGTATTTTATGGAATTCCTCCAACAGCTGCACTAAGTATTGTTACTTAGATTAGAGTCTCTGGTATTTATGTCCAAAAACTGAAACCTCCAAGCTCTGAGTAGAAAGCTATATAGCCTCAAAACAGTGTCTGTAGAGAAGTCAACACTTCATTTGACTGATACAATTAATATACTGTAAATTTGAACAGTTACTTCTGTGTTTTCAGTACCTTTTGTTACATTCAGCTGTTTCAGTTCTGATTCTTCAACTTTGGCAGATTTGAGAGCCAGAGTAGGGGTTTTCTGATAAACCTTCCAGAGCAGCAGATATTCCACACACATCGACATCAGGTTCCAGCCAGAAATGAATCCACAGCCAATCATCGGGGAGCCAAACGTCATTATCTGACCAACAGCCATTGGGGCCAAGATGTTGGTCAACTGATCAATTCTTCTTATTGTGGCATTCATATCTGTCAGAAATTATGATGACATAAATTAACTGTGGAACACTTACAGTTAAACATTCACTAACACAAGAGTGGATTACACACGCACAAACATCCAGCTAAGTAGTCTTGCTCTGACTGTAAGTGGTTCCAACGGGAGAAACCAGAGGCACCTTCAGAGTGTTCAAGTGTTTAAGTTTACTGCCATCAACCAAGGTGTTTCTAAGCCAAATCCCTACTCCTGCCAGTTTTGCCTGCATGAGGTCTTCTAGGTTAAGCATGCTGGGTTTACACTGAAAGTGTAATTCTGCAGGTAAAACTGCTGGTCCTGAGACCACCTTTACATATCATGACAATGATCTTGTGGACTCCTAAGTCTCTCTCTGTAACACTCAAACCTAGCATGCACAATTCCAGCAATCTCATTAGGTGGAATTCTTTCCTGTAAAGATAGTAGTCGCTGAAACTATCTCCCAATACTGCAATACATATTTCTTAGTCTCCCTCACTTACTGCTAACAACTGGTGACAACAGCACCACCACGATAGCAGCAGACCTTTGAAATGGCTTTACCTTTCCTTGTTGAGTCACACTGGTTGATGGCAGTTGTAGGCATTCTCAGATCTTACTGAGCAAAGTCCTCACTCCTTTCTGTTCCACACTTTGATGTTAACAGTCAAAACAAGCAGTCCATGCTTAGAACAAATGCATCTTCCATTTGCTGGGAGGGGATGTCTCACTCTCCTCAATCTTAGCCACTTCAGTGTCATTAAACCCTCCTGGCTCCACTGAGTTCCCAATTAGTAGTGCCATTGTTCCACTCCTACAGGTTGCTTGACACTCAAGGGTTTCACATATCAGGGCTTCAGGTTGCTTAGAAGTACATCTCAAGCCCATTTTAGAGTTCTACTATGAAATTAGAGCTTTTGAAGGACAAGTGAAACTGTACATCAGTGTGAAGCTGCTTTACTGAACCTATAGAGAATTATTCCTCGCCATTCACAGAAACATTTATGTTATTCTATTTAGAATTCTAAGTCAATTCAGTGTTAATCTAGGTAACTCTCAGTCAAATAATTAAGTTAGATGTTTGCATAATACTTTGTTTTAGAAACTCCAAGAACTGAGCTTTGGTTTTTTGAGTATTTGAGGAAGGCTAATATTTCCACTCAGGAAAGGTACAAAGTAAGAGTCAATAGGAAAACTAATTAATGACAATGAAGAAGGGGAAGCCAAGGGAATTTTTTATCACTGACTTGCATAACTTAGGCTCCTCTTTGAGGAAAGGTAGCAGAGTAGACATGGACAACAGTATTTGCCACAAAGTCAATGCTGGCACTTCATTATTTTAAGTTAGGGAACTTCAAATCTCCAAGTTAAATCACGATTAAACGCAAAACAACCCTATTCAGCCTGGAAGGGATCTTTTAGATAAATCTGTTGAACTAAGGTACTTAATTCAGTGGCTGTTTTTGAATGAGAATTTAGAGTAACCTCTTGCCTGCTTTTTCAGTACAAAATATATGGGGTCATACAATTGTGCCCAAGACCATGAAGCAGTGAAGAGGCAGGACTGCCTCCCAGGCAGTTCTCTGCAGGTGTGGTCTGTGCCTTATCTCAGCTGTGGTATGCAGGACAGGCACTGGGGAGATGATTTGCTGAGTAAGATCTGACACAGGAAGAAAGGTTAATGAGAACTATTAAAACTAAGACTCTTACAGACAGCTGCTATTTTTCTACCTGTGATTCACATGCATGAAGAAAGTTCACCTGTACTGCTGCTCTACAAGAGACATGACCTAGAAAGGGACAGCAAGGTCAGAATAAAAGACTACAGGGGAAAATTTGTATACTGAAAAATTAAAGTATGGCACTTCCAATGCATCTAAGAATTACCCTTTCCTGGATAAGATGGGTAAGTAATATTCCTTCACTGAAGGTAAATATCAAGTAAAAATCTGGAATACAGGATTCAAATCCCTAAAAGGACTCTGAACTTTATGGGCAATTTAGCAGCTTCACACAAAATCAGAATCCAGAAGCTGAAATGCTTTCTAGGACTGGAGGTATTTCAACTGTGTCAGACTAACTTTAGTTGCAGAGCTAGTAAGCTATAAATGTCTTGGTAATGTTAAGCTGCACTGTTCTGTGTTTGCAGTCCAGTATCAGTTCCTCTATCTGAGAAGGCTTAAGTCCCTTTATGGGGTTAATTCAGAGCCCATATAATCTGATCAAATTCACTGTGAAAGTGCTGCTTCCCTGTCTGTTACAGTCAGAGGAGCAGCAGAGCCCAAAATCCGTCATACACCCCTTGGTGTGATTTGCCTTGGGGCCAAGAGTACCCCCAGCAAAGGAGAGTCAGGTTCAATGCATCCTTGGGCAGGTTCCCAAACTCCAACATCCAAGTAGTGTCATGACTACCAAGCTGCAGTAGAATTTGAATGAGGACTCGTTCTCTCTTCTAATAGTACCAGTGCTACTACGCAAGAAAGGGTGGGGGGAAGGAAAAATATTTTCTAGGCAAAAAAAGATGATTAAGTCTGTGGTCAAAGATTAAAAGTATCAGATGGAATTGGAAGCTCTACTTTCCTTTGACAACTGAAGAAAGGTGTTCACAGCTCTGAGTTAGACATCTAATTCTAGAGAAATACAAGATTTCTGGTGTGTCTGCATGCAGTGTTACCTACTGGCAGTATCCTGATCCCCCTACTTAACTGTTCTGGACTTCATTCTTATGTACCTCCTGGATCCCTATGAGAGGAGCCCAGTTATGCAAGAGTTTTCTGTTTCATTCCAGGGACCTAAAAATAAAGTATTGCAACACTTGGCTTGTTCAGCAAGACTAGTTTTCCTGACAGATCTGCAGCAGGTCTAAAAAGAGGACAAAACAAGTTCAGGGATGCCTAAGTGAATTGTAATCACAACAGTAATTTCTGATCTCAGTCAGAGCAAGGAAGAGCAAAATAAAGGCTGCCCCTTGACTTGATGTTTTATCATAATATCTGGAACTCAAAGATGCACTAATATCTGCAAAACTCCAGTCTAGAAAAAAAAAAAACAAAACCCAAGCTTGGAAAGTAAGACATGTAAAGTATTAAAAAGGCAACATATTTCACCTGCCAGTTTGCTTCTGTCTTCCCCTGCAACCACAACAATCCAGTCCCTCTGAATTGTGATTGCTGTGGCAGTGCTGGCCAAATTGGCAATATTTGCTATTGTGATAACCAGGATATAGCACACCGTCTGGAGAGGGGGGGAAAGAGTTACAACATGAGAAAATTGATGAAGAAAAATCTCCACCTCCCACACAAGCAGAAAAGGATTTTACATTTGAATTCACACGTTTTGGCATTATTATTCACACAAAACAAGATCAACTCTACTTTACAATTCCTGGCAGAAAACAATCATGTCTGTTTACCCAACAAGCTCAGTTTCATTTGCCAGTTTTAGCTCCCAGAAATGTCTAAACAGACTAGAGGAAAAAAAATAAAAATTCATCCATCTCCCATGCTCCCCAAAGTTCTTTGTAAAATAATTTCTTATTAACAAGTTCAAGCACTCACAAGAAGCCATCCATGGTATAATGTCAAGAGTTGTGTCTTAAACAAGAAGATAATCATCAGGATAATACCACACAGGATGACAGATGCATTCTGTACAATCAAGGATGTCTGGGCCACTGTTTTAAATCAAAACAGAGAACAACAGTTATGAAATAAGAATGAGCTAACTATAACCTTAGGGAGGACATAATTAAGGAACATGCACAGTTTCCTTAAATAATTTTATTTTCCTAGTCTTCACAAAATATAAGCAGCAAAAGTCTACTTCATATTCCATTTTAATCTTCCATTGTCTTAGAGAAAGAAATTAATGTCTAATGTAACTTTGTAGCTCTTGATTCACAGTTCAAGCAGGTCTTTTCGCAATCAAAGTCTCTGTTTAAATGCTGATACTATCTTTCCAGTAGTAAAAGCCTAGCTCAAACATCTAAAACTTATCTTCAGCCTACCATGGATGGATGGGATGCTATTTTGTAAACTTTTGGAAAGTAAAAAACTCATATGAAGAACTTGACGCCATTTTCTTTATACAACAGGCTAGAGCATACATTTTTAAAATACGTATTATGCAAATGCAGTGTGTGTTTACACTGAAGTGAAAGATGTTTGTATCCTGACAGAAGACAACAAATAATGCAAGTGTATGTTAGTGTTAGACTGTAAAGAGCCTGGTCTGTAAAAGTTGGGGGCTTTTACCTTCTGCATTTCCAGGCTTAGCCTGAGTAACACATAATCACCACTTAAAACTGTTTTCCTCCTATCTTAGACAGTATCTTTGTGTAACCATCACCACTCAAACTCCACTCCGCCCTTCTTGTAAAGAAATTAGCAAGCCCCATTCTCGTATGTGACTCGAGGAATTAACTCTATCAGCTTTAACATTAATTTGATCCATCCTTAAGCAAATAACCTGCTCTAGACATCTAACCTTTGAGCCTGGAGTTCTTGTCCACCCAGTCTCCAATAAGGGCCCCCAGGAGAAGAACAGATCCCGCCACAACCAGTCCATAGACGGCAGTCAGGAGTAAGCTGTTCCCATAAAGTTCCACCAGGAATACGGACACAGCAAAATGCCACATACGATCTCCCTGCGAGAGTAACAGAGAACACACACATGCAGCATTACTGTTGGCACTCTGCAAGCACACAGGTTCACTGGTTTACTAACGCCCTGACAAAGAATCTGTACGAAAATAAAGGGTTGTTACGCATGCAAGGGTGGAGTGGGGGTGGTTGGTTTTGTTTTGGGTTTTTTTTATTACTGTACCCTGTCACCATTGATTTTGTCCCATTATCACTAAGATCAGCTGTCCTAATCAAGTGAATCATTACAGCTTGTAACACCACATCCAAAAATCCCAGGTATTTTCTATTATAGTATTACAGGACCAAGTCTATTATCAGCCACATCCAACAAGCCTCAAAAAGCTTACATAAATTCCCCAGCACAGATCAAATATTAACAACAGATTTACTGGTTATTGACACTATTTAAATAACTTTGAGACAACAGTTTGCTCTTAGACGATCAAAGCTTAAGTGCTGCTTTAAAACACGAGAGTGAGTCGAGTGAAAGCAAGTCATACAATTTAGGAAAGACATGGAGAAATGTTAACTACAGTTTCCTAAGTCAATGGACTTCAGCTATTTTCGTGTTAAGCATTGGCATATTACTCAGAGGTAGAATATTAGAGCTCATTTAATCTATTGTAAACTCATTGCTAGTTCAGCCTATTTAACTTATTGCTAGTTTAACCTAGTGCTTAGAATACATTTTCACATTCTGATACCACTTGCTACAGGTACAAAAAGGGAGCCCCAAATTGCTAAACATGTGCAAGTGAAGTAATTTCCATACTATTCAAAACATTTTCAGGTTTGCTAATGAATACATGGGGTTTTTCTGCTGTCACATGATGGGAGTCATATCTCACTTTATTATATTGCAAGAAATGAACAACAGAAAATGCTTTATGTAATTAGTAACAGAGCAGATGAATAGAAATCATTCATACTATTCTAAGGCACACAGGTTGTTTAACAAGGGTCCCCTTAACATTAGCCTTTTACAAACCAAACACAAAACTGTTTTCTTCTGCTGCCTTATCTTAAATAAACAATTGCTAGGTGATACAGCAAATAGTACAAATTTCTAAGGACCTCAAATATTCTTAAGGGCTGGGGGAGGTGTAAAAATACAAGTACTTTTAAAAAGCAAAGCCTGCCAAATCTAACTTACCACGTACCACAGCAACCAAGACATACATAAAAAGCACGCTATTTAGAGAGTCAAAATAACTGCACTTTGATTAAAGTCTTCAATATAGTACAGACACAAAAAGCATTTGCCTTTTAATGTTATTCAAGCTCCCTGAAGGAGGTTTCTGTAAACACTGTAATGTGTAAACCTTCATATTTTTTTCCCTAACCATAGGCAGAAAAAAATTAAACTCCAATCATGTGGAAATAGAAATTTCATCTATTCAAAGAAAAACTCTGGATATTATGTTTTTTAACTAAATCCAATGAAAAATCCTACTACAAGCATAATTATCTTTTATGTCCCCTCACACATATAATAAACCAATACACCTAAAGTCATCTGTAAATATATTCCACTTATATTCCATGGTTAGTTAGTAGAAATATATAGAAAATATCCCAGCAATAAATCCACAGGGATATGATTTCCCAAGTCAGTCATTCACTTAATATAATCTGAGGTGGTACTTTAAAGTATTTCACTTAAAATACATGCAGGTGGATGAACTAAGTTTTGATCAGCCTGTATAACTGTTTATTAAGCTAGAAAAGTGAGCCAAAAATGTGCTTTCACAAGAACATTTCACAACAGAAGTTTGGGTTTTTTCTTTATGTAGAGATGTTTCAGCTGCCTAATTCTGAAAAGATGAAAAAGGCATTTAAAAAAAAAAAACTAAGCATGAGAAAGTCAGTGCCAGACACTCCTGTCAGATTTAAAAACTGAATCTCACTTGAAATCCATGGGAAGGTTCCCTTGACCCCAGTGAAACCAGGATTTTTCTATACAGTTCATTTAAACATTGCTCAACCTTATCCAATTAATTTACTCAGAGTATTTTGATCAGGCCAATCCACAGAGACAATTCTTGGGGTAACCAAAGCTGTTCCAGCCTGGAAGCATGAGTTTCTTTCAGGAATTAAAAGCCACAAAGAGCAAGCAAAGATCAATGAGTGTCATAAAAGAACAATATTAGTGAATTACAGAGGCTTGAAGCAGGTACAAAACTAGGCTCTGTTGAAACTTAAACAGCAAACATTGTCCTCAGAATCAGGCAAATCCTTGATTATATATACTTAATCCCACTTCAAAGTGTGGGTATTTCAAAACTTCTAAATGGCTACAGATGTTTAGCCTCACCATCCTTTTAAAGACAGCTCTTCCTCTTCTTTATTTATAATTATCCTTATAATCATCTCAAACGGAACGTTTCCAATCCCACCTCAGAACTGAAGCCAACAAGTTAAGCAGGAGCCAGGCTACTACCTACTGACAGGCCTCCTGATGTCTGAGGGGTACAGATAAGGCTGAGAAATTGCAACCAACTGACCTTCTGGGAAGCATTAGGCCTGGCAGCAACAAGGTAAACCCAGTTCCATCCTGTTCCCTCTTTACTGCTGAGGGATTGACAGCCATGGATTAAATACAATAAGGTCTGAGACTCCAGCTCAGCAGAACACATCCCTGAGGCCAAGCACAGTTCAAATGCTTTACTCAGCCAGAGCCTGACAGAGTCTAGACTTTGTTCAAGTCTCAACATTTGTTGAGCTGTGACATGTTTAATCATTTACAGGTTTTTCTTTTTATTTAGGAATGGCATAGTAACACAGAAACCTAATTAGCTCCCTCAGTTACAGTAAAACTCCATTTCTATCAGGTTTTGTATTGTGGGCAGGGCCATTCTAGAACAGAGATGACCTATTACTTGGAGTTCTAAAGATTTGGGTATTTGTTTATTTTTCCTATTACCAAAAACCTCCAGAGTACAGGAATAGCAAAGTTTAGGAGATATAAAATGCAAAGTTTAGGAGATATAAAATGAGATGTATTTCTGTTATTTCAGCCGGTTGTTTCAGCAGGCTTGGTCAGGGGTTTTTGAATCAAGATTTTCAGCACAAAACCTACCAGAACATTACCAGGAGTACATTACTAATATTGCTAAACAGCTGAATAGATATTTTGCAGTCCAATGTTTGTTATGGTGTGCAAAACTATTCTCAAACTCTGCTTTGTCACCTTTACTCATGTACTCCGAGAGCAACCCTACCGCCAAGCTTCGAAGCACTCGTCAGAGAGCAGCAAGCAGGGTTCGTGGGCATGACTGACAAAAACTGTTGCAGGTAACAACCCTGACCTCTAAAAAGCAGCAAACCAAACAGAAACATCACCACTCAGCTCCTTCAGTAATATTAACAACTGCCAAAATACTGCACTTGTTTAAACACATGTTTGATACCACTCAAAGTCTTCTTCCACCAACAGAAACGTCAATATGACCCTTTAGGTTAGTGAAAGCAAGAAGCTGCCAGAATCAGGCAGGCAGTGTTGTAACTGTAGATCAGCCACTTGCTCAATGCACACATCAAAAGAACCCAAATGCAGGACTAAAAGGCAAAACAAGGAATATTAGGGGAGAAATTTTCACTTCTTTTTTTAATCAAGCCATTATATGGGGACTTAATATTCTTAATTTTATTATATAGAATAGAACCAGACTGTCTATTTTTTAGTACATATTTTAAGGTGGTGTTTGGGTTTTTGTAGTATCCCTCAACTGAGTAAAAGCTGGTGCAATGAGTTACTTTAGTACAGAAGGAAAGCATTTCAGAAGGCAAACGTTTTTACAGAAAAAGAGACATCTCCCGACAGTGTCATCAGGTTTGCTAAGAAGCAATGGGACCATTGCAAACATTGAGTATTTCCCATTAGTTAATATACAAGTCCTTCAGATACACGGACTGTAATGGACTGTCTCTCTCTCTGCTCCTCTTTAAGGAGCCTCACTGGTTCTGTAGTTATTTAAAAAGTACAAAAAGGTACAGAGCCAGGCCCTCCAGAAAGCGAGTACTGCACTACTCTGCACTACACCTGAACCTACTGCAATGTATCACATAAAGATTACGAAGACTTAACAGCGAGGTGTTGTAATCAGACCTCTGTCTTTGTGTGATGTGTGTGAAGATTTTTTGGAAACTACCAGTAAAACTCAGGTAAGTCACGGACAAATTAAAAAAATCCTACTTCTACCAGGCCGGTATTTTACTTACCCAAGTGGACAGTGCATGCCCAAGATAAAGAAGAAACTTTGCAGACGTAAAATAGGCAACCACAGATCCTAAACGAGAAACAAGAAACAGATGCTAAAGGAGATGCGGGCACATCCACCGCACTTCGGCCCGCACCGGGTGCACTTCGCTGCGGTGAGGGGGACCCGACACGGTGCTCGGAGCGGAGCCGCCCCGGACACACGGCGCGGTCCGGAGCCCCCCCCGCGCCCGGGACCCGAGGGACCGCACTGACCGCCGCGCCGCCGGCCCTGCGGCTCCGCTGCCCGCGCCATGCCGGCCCGATCCGCCGCTGCCCGCTGCCGACAGGAGGGGGGGACGCGCGGCTCTCTCCGTGTTGCCTTCCCCGACTTAGCCAGCACTGTAGCTGAAGTCGGAAAGCCTTGGCCTTATGCGGCGCGGGCGGCGGGGACGCTCCGCCGCGGAGGGGCCGAGCGCCGCTCGACGCCCGGCTCGGAGCTCTGAGGGGCCGGAGGCTCCGAGGCTGCGGGTTCGGCTCTGGCCGCGCACCGCCCTTTGTATCGGCGGCGGCGGCACCGCCCCCGCCCGGCCCCTCCCGGGGGCGGCCCCGGCCCCGCCGCCGTGCCCGGGGAGCGGGAGCGGCGCCTCGCGGGCACCGCCGGGCTGGGATCGTGTTCGCGGCCTCGGCCACGGCCGTGGGACCCGGCGGCCACCAGGGCCGATCAGAAAGCGGCACAACGCCGAGGTGATTTTCGCTGTGTGCCGGGCCCCTGAGCCCTGCCCCTGGCTGGGCTCTCTGCTGTTGCCGTGGTGGTTACAGCGATTCAGAAAACGTGACATTGGCGAATGGGCAGTTACGCCAAGAAGCCGGGGTTGTAAGGGAAGCGCCAAGTGTCACAAGCCAGCCCTTGAAACACCTGCGAATGACAGTGCTTGCTCCCAATTCAGAGCTTTCAATAAAAAAAAAAAAAACAACTAAGCAAAGTACCAAAATGTAAGCTGTTTAACTGAAATAACACTCTGTTCTAATGAAGATGGTGCAGAATTCACTCCTTCAGTGCTGGCTCAGGCATATTTACGGCCCACCATAAATACTTTTTTTTGCGCACTATGTGACCTACTTTTGGTACTGACCACCACCACAAACTGCATTTTTATAGAACTTAAAAACCAGTCAAAGTGTACAATAAGCTATTTTTTTCTTTCTTTTTTTTTTTTTTCCCCAGGATATACAAAAATATTTAAGAAGTATCTGTCCTTGTGCAGTTGAAAAGATAATGATTGCTCTTGGCTGCCAGATGATTTTTTTCATTGTGTAATACTGCAAAGTTGCCTCCTATATGTGTAAAACTGCTTTTGTTTTGGGTTGTTTTTTCGGTCTTGTTTTGGTTTGGGATTTTTTTCCCCCCAAGTATATAGGCCATCCCAGAAGCAAATGCCTGACATAACAGACCAATAATCTGTTCTGGTGTTGCCATTCCTGTGATCTTGTTCAAAGTATTTCTTGCATCAATTAGATGATTTTCTATGCATGAATCATGGATTATCCTTTGCATAAAGGGAACTAGACCTTGGGAAAAAAAAAATCAGAAATAAAAATTCATATAAACATGGGAAGCCTAAAATTGCTGTTTCAATGGGATTGGTTATCCTAGGTGAGTTAAGTGTTTTTTCTTATGGTATGTTTCTTAAAAAATGCAGAAATTTTTTTCTCAGATTGGCATCAACAGCAGAGGAAATTTTCTTGATGGCTTGTCTTACAAAGCCTTACTGCTTTACTAACAGCTAAAAAGAAAATTATTTTTCCTAAACCGTAACATTTTTAATATCATTAGCCCATATTAAATAAAAAACCCGACAGTGTATCAAAATCAACTGATATTTAGTTGGTTTAAAGTCTATTAAGTGTCAGTGCTTGCATTTTTACTACAATTGCAGTGTAATCCACAAGTAGATACACTTGAATAACTCGAGTCTAACACCTGATTGTTACTCTTAGCAGTAAGGCAGCACACAGTCTCGAGGAGCACGGTGAGATAGATGCCTGCTGTGGTCCAACACATCTGACTTGCATCTTTTCCACCCCTGGTGGCACTTGTGGCCACTGTTACAGTTTGGTTACTGGACTAGGTGGATCTGGGGTCTGATCTGGTCTGTCAGGTACCATACCTAATACAGCAGCACAACTGGATCCTACAGAGATTCACTGTCCACCCAGGAACACTAGGAACACCTACCAGCACAGTACTGCTGGTTAGATCCTATTTTTATTAATAGAGAAGAATGTGGATGAATTAGAGTTGAAATAATAATTTCCGATTGAATGCTCACTGAACTTTATACAAGTGCATTGGATTATTTGGATGAAATCATCATCTCTGTCATTTTGTCTACTGGGTAATGATTTTTTATTTGGTGATATTTAAGGTATGAGAAAAGGCAATGAAAACACAGCTACCATCCTTCGAAATTTAAACAGCAGTGGTTGCTATATCTCTCTGGGATTTCTTGTCACACATGTCTCAGACACAAAGCCACTGCACACATGATGTAGGGTACCTACTACCTGCAGGTATCATCCAGAATTTATTATATCCAAAGCCATATATATTATACCCTTTTCTAAGAATTTCTCTGCCAAATGTCCAGAGGTTCTAGACATAGAGCTAAAAGGCCGTTCTGGATTTATGAAGCATTTGTCTCCTTCTTAAAGCAGGGGAGTTGGCAGGTAGGGAAAATCCATAGTTATTCTCCTGAATTTGCCACCACTTTGCTGATAATCTTTCCCCACATGCTCATTAAAATAAGTCTGAGCTCAGGTCTCTTTCCCTGTCAAACAGGGGATAACAGATCATTCTTTACAATACTGATGTTAAAACCTAATACAGTAGCTTGAGCACTTTGATTTTTACACCTAAAAAAGTTGCCGCTAAAGAAGTCCCAAGTATTCTTATTAATACTCCACCTAAATCCAAATTTTATTAGATTGCTTTGTGAAGCCCTTGTGAATATTTTTAAAGATGTAGCTCCTTTTTCAAGTTGACTGGCTCACCGGAGTCTTTTCACCACAACACTTACAGATTTCTGATGCATTTAGGGAGGTGTTTAATAGCTGGAAGCTACACAAGAGGAGTTACCAGTTTTACTTGGTGTAGCCCCGACTCAGCAGTCTTGCAACAATCTTATACATAATGGGACAGCTACAGATTTGAGACCAGGCCTGACTAATGGTCACTGGCAGAGTGGAAATGGAGACCAAAAAGTGGGATTGGAACTAAAAAGGCTTATATTTATGTTACAGTCTTCCTAGCCTAAATTTTTCAGTGGATAAATTCCATAAGCTTTCTAAGAAATATACTGTTAATGTCATCTCTCTAGTTATTATTTGAGTGAAGAAATATAACTACTGAATTAGGTTTGAGAATTGTTAAGTTTATGATTAAAATATAAAAAATAATTTCATTCAAAAAACAGAGACATTCTTCAAAATATTTCTAAAATGAGACAGCTGTCTAGAACCAAAAAAAGTTATGGTATATTCAATTTGTCAGGCAACAAGGGCAACAATTCAACTATAAGATGTAAACAACTGAAAATGTTTTAATTATTGGTAAATGCATAACTATGATGTGAAGAATATTCAAAGATACGCTTCCAGGAAAGAAATGTCTTAAAACATAAAAGAGGATATATTTTGGCTTTAAACAACTGCCCACATCAGTGGCAGCTTCTTTAAGCACTGTCCTTGTAATAGAGCTACTAAATGTAGAGCAACAGCAATTTTACAGAATAATACCCACATTTGTCATCATGGTTTAAGTAAAGAGGTGTGAATCATAGTGAGACCTCAAGCACGCTCAGATCTTACACTCAGCAGAGAGGTTTCATGAAGTTTAATTATCACGATGTTACCACTCTTCATAAGATGCACCTCTTGGTGTGTAAAGTGGTTTTTTACTCATGTAGCTCACACAAGGCCTAGCAAAACTGGAAAGGATATATGTAATCTGTGCCTTTTGAAGGGTGAAGCACAAAAGCCTTTGCTGCACTGACCCCTGCCATGACTCAGGTACAGAAAGCTGTGGCTCTGTTGCTCATAACCCCACACACTGAACTCTCAGAACTACCATCCCCACATCAGATGACACTCACAGGTTGCAATGCTGTTGCAGAAAGAAACGGGCAGAGATGAGGTGGAGAAAGGTCTCCCAGGTTTTTTTAGGATTACTGCTTCCTTTCAAAAGAAATGCTTTTTACTCCAAAACTATTCATTTCACTTACATGTTAGCAATTTGAATATATATCTACTAATGGTCATTAAGCAAATGCCTGCTCCCTCTCACTTGCTCTAAGATCCACAGTGTGATGCTCCTATTGGATTTGTTTCTCTCAAAGTGACAGCCCCTGTCTCTCAGGGCTAGATGACTAGACCACAGTCATTTTAACCTGAGCTTTTCAGGACCAGGGCTAGACTCCTGTGACAAACTCTTGTGAGAAAACCATCCAGAAGCTCTAGCAAATTCAGAATTGAGAGGTTTATTTGGAGAGGGTAAAATTACCTAGCTTATACTAAACTCCAGCTCAGGGGGGCTGACCCAGCTCTGTGCTCACATGCTCAAGCTAAGATGTTTTAACTGAACAGCGACAGCCTAACTAGTGAGCAACTGCTTAAAATCATGTGTTCTGTGTGACTGTTTGATTCAAGAAGAGAATACTTTTGTCCAATCTTCCTCAGTCATAAGAAAACACTGTACCCTAAACACGAATAAGGAAAACATCCTGTACCAAATGAGAAAAAAGTAATTAAAAGAAAAGAAGACACCATATCTACTTAGGGATAAGTGGATGTTTTGCACCCAAATGTCAGGAGTAACATTTCTGCAAACTCCCTATATCATGTGGCACTTTCATTCTCAAGAGTGGGAATTATTTACTTGAACTGGAACACTGTGTTGAGGAAGAGGCTGAAATGAGTCTGGAGGGTCAGATAACAGTCTATCTGCAATTTGAGCTCATTTGGTTTGTTTTCTTCATTAGAACTTACTGCAGTTTGACTTCTACAGGGTGTCATTGTTCTGCTACTAAAGAATACAACAATGCTTAATGAACAGAATTTTGTTTCCCGTGTGTATTTTAGTAAACATTATGAAAACACTGGGATTTGTTATTTTCCCCACAGCCATCTAATACCTACGAATTTTGCCTTTACTCCTTAATTCATTGTTCAGGTATTTTGGTACATACAATAAAATCAAATGTGAAAGCAAATCAGACAGTATTTGTATCCCTTAAAGAAGAAACCCTGTTATAAGTAGTATGCATTCTTCTCTTGAACAGCTCCTGTAGGAGATTATGGTTGACCTCTCTAACACAGACAGATTTTGTTCACCTTTCTGCAATGTTTTATTCTGATTCTATGCCAAGAAAATACTTAAAACCACATTTTTAACTTCGGGCACATGTTTAGTTTCCATTGATTT